GATGAAGAGGTTCAGAAACACAGGGATCGCTGTGGCAATGCGGTTCTGGCTATTGGACATCAGAGCAGTGGTCAGATGAAGGCACTCTGTGGTATTCATAAAAAAGGAGGGTGTTTACCATGAACAGGGTGTAGAACTGAGGACTCGATATCTAGACCTTGGAAATCTGTCTTTGGTTCCATTGACCCTATCTGCCACAAAAGGTGCTCTCTGCATTGAATTGAAGGAAGAAATAAAAATTATCTACGCTTTGCATCATTGCAACCTGGAAATATTTCCAAAGCAGACAGGGATAGGTGGCTCCATATCACCACAAGAAGCTTTTATTAACATGACAGTGACATTTAATACTTGCTATGATAGCTTCCTATGGACCTGTGTCCTTGTACAGGATCTTAGGTCCTTGGCAAAGAGTATATAACAATGTACTCTGAACACCATGAAGCTGGATCTGGGAGGGCTGTAGCACTCTCTGAATATGTAGACCTGGGGGGACAGGCTCCACAGTGCTGAAACAGGTCAGCAGCTGACCAATTGGGACGTAATCTGTGCAGTCAGAATTGAGGTGCTGTGAGTGAGAGAGAATCTATTGCCAAGCCCCACAGATACTGCTCATGTCAAAAAAAAAATTATCCTGATCCACATATCCTTCCATTTCTCACTAGAAATTCAGCTCCATTATAACCTTATGGGAACACCAAGGTATATGCCATCCCTCATTGACCAAAAAGTCATTATGCAGCACATGACTGTATTTATGGATAAAATTATATGATATCTGAGTTTTCTTCAAAACAGTATGTAGTGGTATAAATACAACCAATTGGCCATATTGATAATTGCTGAAGTTGAGTAAAGGGCACACAGGGGTTCATTATACAATTCTCTAGACTTGTATACATGTTAGAGATTTTCTGTAATAAAAAGCTCATGGGGAAGGTAGAAGAGAGTATGGTGGGGAATAAATGGTGACATAAGAAGACTTAAACCAAAAAAGTATATAGAAATCTTTTTGAAAAGCACCAGTAAGGTTTTAAAATTTCTATCAAAGGTAAAAATGTTTTCATATTTAATTATGTAGCAAAAAAACTCCTGCTACTAATCACAGTGAATTTTCTTGTCCAAGATAAAATGTTTAAAACAACATATCAACCAATACAACTGCTGTAATGCTTTCCTTGATAGATTAGATTACCCTGAACAAAAATTTAACGTTGAGATTTTTCATAACCACCATAATATAACAATATATCAGGGTAAAAGGAAAGCAAGCTTAACCAATTTGCACTGTCATTCAAAGACAAAAATGCCTCTCCTCGGAGTAAGAAAGGAGTCGGCAAGCATTTAGGGAATACCTACCATGCACATGTGAAGCTGTCTTGGCACACTTCCTGATAAATCTAATGCAATGTGTATTCTATTGCATTTACCCATTGGTTGACAAAGTTCAACTGAACAACTACCCTCCAACACTTTCTGGGAGTACAAAAATGAAATAAGTATGTGCACATACAGGAGTGAGTGTGTGTGTGTGTGTGTGTGTGTGTGTGTGTGTGTGTAGCAAAGAGATACACAAGCATATATTGTACACAAGTTGTTTTCATATGTATTAGGATTTTTTTTTAATTTTCCAAATCAGGATCTATTTATTAAAGCTGGTGTCAGGCTTTCCAATACTCCAGACTGCCCAGAAATCTGGATTTTTTTTTCTGGTTTTATTTATTTTGAGATTTCTTTTGTTCTTTTTTTTTCTCACATCTGTCTTTAAAACCCCACCCTAATGTCTGCTAGCATTTAAATTAAGAGCATTTTTACACGCCACAAGAGTCTATAAAAATTACCAAAATGGCACTAACATGAGGAATTCAACTTACTCCCAGAGCCATGTATTAATTAAGCAATCTCTGTGGAAAGTAAGTGTAATTTATGAACAGTATTAAGTGGGGTGTTCTCACAAAGACCTTGATTAAGTACAGTTTAGCATACACCACAGTAAAAAGCCAGTGCCTTTTGGGTACTAACTACATTCGTTCTTCTTAGTTCTATAATAAAAGTAAATGTGTATTTTTATAGTTAGACAGGGTATTATCCCTGGGGAAACTGGGTGAGGGGTGCACAGGACCTCCCTGAACAGTATTTTTGTAACTTCCTATGAATCTATACATATTTCAAAAGTTTTTTTTTAAGTAAGCCACATCAAAACTACTAACACCATTCTCTGGGGGTAGGAGATAAGAAGATTCATTCTAAAATCAGGGTTCCACTTAGACAAATTCTACCATTATATGTAATTTCTGCATGTGACCTGTGATTATATAAATTTTCCCATCAGAAAGTAAACGGCTACCGAAAACGCTGTCAGAACACTGAGAGATGCTATTTCCCTCTCTTTCAGATTATTTCAATTTGGCAAGACGTAGGGACATTATCACCACATCTACTTTTCTATGAAGCCTTTTGTGATCATCATCGTCCCCACATCCTCATGGGACCCGCCTCTCAGCCTTTGTATCCTGCTGTTCCTCAGATACCTGGCTAGCCAAGCACCTGGGGCATTTTCTTGAATGTCTGTTGATTTGTGCACCCCTTTCCTGCAATGTGAGCTGGCTGAAGGCAGGGATCCTGCCTGGTTTGTCTCTATATATAATCTTCAGTGCCTTCCACAGTGTCTTGGTAACAACAGGCTCAAAAAAAAAAAGTTGAATGAATAGAAGAAAAGGAAGAAGGAAGGAAGGATGGATAAATGGATATGGGCAGGCAGATAGAGAAATGAATAGATAGGTCCTCTTCTCCTTAGCTGTATATATAGAAGATTGTACATGCCATGTAGTTCTTACCAGAAGCATCTACCTTTCTTAGGAGACCATGCCTCTTTAGGACCTCAAAATCCCCTCAACAAGACGCAGATTCCAGGGTAACTCAATGTGGCTGCTGGAACTACTGGGCTCTCTGGTCGTGAAATGCAAGGCTTTTAACTGAATGAGTGTGGGGGAGGGCAGTTTCTACAAGAGAAGCAGCCCCTTGTGAGCATGTGAAGGAAGGCTGCGTGAATGGGGAGACCACTCCCATTCAGCCTCCTAACTGCCCACCTGTCTCAGGAATTCCAGCCCTGAGTGCTTTGAGCTGAGCAGCATCAAATGCCCTTATTATTGACCTGGAGCAAGAGGAGAGTTCATTGTTCATTTCAATAGCTGCAAAAATATAAGAAGCATTACTTCTGTGACCCTCCAGCTCTGAGAGCATAGCTATCATGGCAGGATACTAAGAGGTCAGGGTTCTCCCCCAAAAGTTGCCCAACATCGCCCCACACCTCCTCTTCTGCCTCAGTAGAAGAGTCCCAAAGTAATTTTCAAATGCAGACAACGTTTCAGTGAACATGGTACCAATCGGTGTGCAAACAGCCTCAAAATACGAACTGGAGTTATGTCCCAAGAGTTTAACATGATTAACAATGAGAGTGACCATTTGTGGAGGGCCTTCTATGAGTGAGGTGGTTTATATGCGTCATTACTATTGGAACTCATAACGTACTTTCCCACAGAAATAGTGGTATAATGACCCAATTTGGTCTTCCCTGCAAAAAAAAAAAAGCACATTTAATCGACAATATCCCTGAGGCATAGTATTGCTATTACAGGGTCCAACTACTCCAGTGTAAAAAAGGCTGGCACCAGGCAGTTAGAATTGTAATGTGCAATTTGCGAGCTACACCAACCCCCACTATCATGGGATCAAGGACACGCTCTGCTCTCCTGGCCATACTCATCAGCTGAGTCATGTTAGCAGAGAAACCCCTCTCCCCAAGCCAGAGAAGGCAGCGGGAGCTCCAAGATGCTTCATTTGCTCCACAATCGCCTCCCGTCCTGTCTACCATTGATCCTAGGATAGAATGGGGTTCAGGGGCGGGGGTCCCAGTCTTTGCAAGTATAGGGAAAGGGTGTAGCTGAAGCCTCTGAGCCAATCAACCAGCACTGCTGCTTCTAGGGTGACGAGCTGCATAAGTCAGAGTTGCTGAGACACCAAGTGAAGGAGGTCGCCTGAACACTCCTCTGGAAATGGCTTTACCTACAGTTTGGCAACCTGTCCAAACATGCTGGTGGTTAAGTAAAAGAAACGCAACTAATTTGAGAACACTACTCAAGTCGAATTTTTCCAAGTGGAGAACAAAGCTGATTAAGAATTACTTCTTGACAGGATGGAGCTGTCCTCCTCTTGTGAGGAAGGGAAGTCTGCAACACCAGGCAGTGCCTCACCACTATGACACAGTCAAGCCTCTTATGACATTCATGCCCACGACCTCGGCTCAAGACAGCACAAGAGATACATAGACGCTCACACAGGAAGCTGGGTTAGCGACTGGGAGAACAAAGCTTCCCGGTCCTGACCTTTTGCTCCGTGAGCTGGAAAGGGCAGCGGAGAAACTGGAGGGAGAAGAGCTTCGGGCCCTGGAGAAAAAAAGACCTGGAGGTCGTTGTCGCCATCACAGAGGGACATGCTTGCTCACCCACCGTGGGGCTAGGCTCTCAGCTGTCTTGTCATACTTCTAAGGGACCTGGCATGCACTCATCCCGAATACAGCACTTCTCCCCACCAACAATATGTGTATGTTTGTGCCATTCTTCTCCAAGTTCTTCAAGGGATGCTGAGAAAGACAGCATTCCCATTTGCTTCATTCAAAAATAATTATAAACTTGCAGTGAGCGACACTTTGGGAATACATGAAGGCACAGCAACACGGGCCACCCATGAGGCAGTTATTACCACAACATGAAGGTTGGCAGCCACCTATACAGAGATGTACAGAGCATGCCTCTGCACACACGTAAAGGTGGGCAGGTTACATCCACTAAACTGTGTGGGTTAAGGCAGCATAACCCAACTATGCTTGTGAGCTTTTGTCAAAGCTGCTTGTCATGGGCTACAGAGCAGAGGGGATGCAGGAGCAGTGCCCACTGGTGCCCGCACCCCTTCCCTGGGTGGTCAAGCGGCGACATCCTTACTTGACTTGGAGAGCTGCTCATCCTGGGAAATGCTGAGATCATCCGACTCCCCCGACAGCTCCTTGATGAAGTTGGAGGGAAACATCCCAGTCTTTCCATTCAGAACACCTTCCCACCATCCTTCTTCCACCTGCATAGATACAGACAAACAGAAAGGCAGGGGTCAGGTTAGACGCAATGCTTTCCAGTTTCCTCTCCCAACTGTGTGGTGCAAAGTGCAGAGCCCCCACCGGCGGAGCCAAAGGACCTATAGCTTACACTTTAATGGGGAACCAGAAAGCAGGCCTCATAGAGCCTTGAGATTCAGACTCAGGAAGGGGGCCATAAACGCAAGTGGAAAAGAATTATTTTCACTAACCTCAAACTGACGTTTGGCATTTCCTTTGATTACAAAGGTAGGTGACACACCACAGTGACAGTAGAAGGACTTGTGAGTCATCAACAAACAAATCACGGATGTTCTCATGTCACATCATAGATGTAATGAATATCTCAAGATATCATTTGTGTACATTGTTACCTGGAGGTGGTGGCCATTATCATACATACTGGGAGATCTTGTTATTTAATGTATTAATGAGGAATTATATTATATATGATAAGGAATTACATGGAGATTATGGTATCAAAATTTGCTTTTAAAACAGTTTGATAGATACTTCAATATAAATGGTTCTCTTTACAATATTCTGTGTTTTATTTTATGCATTTAAAACCACTATTTAAAAACTGAGAATGGCTTCCCAGACTGCCTAAACTAGACAGTGTAACAAAAACAGTTCAGAATCCCTGAGCTAAGGTGGGAGGACTCCCTGCAGGCTTCTGAAGGGCTCTCGATCTCCCTGAGATGAACTGAAACGGGGGAAGGGGGGTAGGCAGGGCAGCCAGACTGCAGTCCTCTGGGCGGGGGAGGCAAGGCTCGACCTGGGGGAGCAGTGAGAATGGAGAAGTCAGGTGCAGATTTGAAAGCCCTTTGAGGTGTGAGCTGGTCTTTAGCGACCAATTCATTGGACAAGCAAGAGGAGGGTTAAAAAAAAGTCATCCCAAGAACACCCAAAGTAGGAATAGCAGCAAGCCAGCTGCTTGGAAGAAACTAATGGGGCATTTTGAGAACAAGCAGGCATTAAATTACCAGTGATGTAGTAGAACAGAAAGAAACCTAGAGCCTGCAGAATTTTGTTTTGTTAGGCATACATTAGGTATACATTACCTACTCAAATCAATAAATATAAGGTAAAAGCTAAAATAATTTAAAAAGAAGAAGAATATTGAGTAAAAATCCCAGTTCACATCCTATTCTGAAACTTAGCAGGTGTATGATGTTACTCAAATTGCCCACCAAACTGAACCCTGGCTTCCTATCTGTATGATGAGGAGAATTAATTCACTTGATTGGTGTTAGAGCTGGATGTATTATGATTCTACACTAGGGGCTAGGGACACAGAACCATACAGGACATGTCCCTTTTTTCCCCTCAAGAAGTTGATATTCCACCAAGGTAGAAAGGGCACATGGTTTATAAAGAGGGGAGTGGGGGTGTCTGACTAAGCACTAGCAATGCGAGGGAAATAGATGAGAAAATGCCATGACTAGGCACAAATCAAACTTGTTACCCAAAGTCAAGGCCACTGAGATCTGGGGTGCTGAAGGAAGGCTCTGAGGAAAAAGAAAGAAATAAAAATTAAGTTCGGCCTCTTAGAGTAAGATTGAGGGTGGGAGGTGGGGGTCGGCGGGATGGCGGAGAATGGTGCGGGGGGAATGGAGACAACTGTACTTCAACAACAATAAAAAAATTGAATTAAAAAATAAAGTTAACTACCGTGTTAAAAAAAGATACAAGTCGAGGAGGGGGTGTGAGACTTTCAGGAAACGGGGAGGCTGACAGAGCCTGTGGAATGCAGACGATCAACATGGTGCTCAGAGCATTTGTTAGGGAACTCGTGGAATACAGACTCGCAGAGAGGTGATAGTATCTGCATGGTCACAGAATTTTCCGGAAAGAACCCAGACAACAGCAGCCATGCGCAATGGTCCCAATGACTATTCAATACTAAATTGTGGCATTTAACTGCATTTTAGTTGAAATCAATCCATGTTTCTATGCCAACTCAACTGATACGTATTATGCTTTCAAGGAGCTTTTTATAGGATTAGGATGGTTAGGAAGATTCACCATGAGACTGAATATAAATAGTCACAGGATTTGTAGCATGGAGTCCTTTGTGCTTGTCCTGAATAAGGAACCATAAAATGACCTTCCTTCTCCTGTAACCACAGGACAGAAGGGAAAAACCAAGGGCATGGACCACAAATGAGCAGTCCCTGGAATCATCTCCAACAGCACAGGGCAGCTGGGCCAAGTCCATTTGATTCAGTTTGACAGTATCTAAAACGTTCCTGTTCCCAGTTATAAGCGGCTCCAGCCCGAGATCCCTGAAGGAAGTGTTCCTGATACGCGGGATCGGTGGGCTGTCTGCTGGGAAAACAGGAGTATCTTCACCTCACCACACCCCTAGATGCCTGTATCACTGTCACAGCACAGTCTGAGAGCAGTGGCCACCAGGGAACCAGCAGAGATCTATCATTAGCCACGCAGTGAAGTGGAAGGGCAGATAATAAAACCACTGCTCATCCCCTCGGGGGGAACACTTCCCACTGCAGGCACCACTGGCAGGGAGGTCTGGCCCCAGTACCATTGAGAGCTGTTCAGTACTATTTCTGCCTGTAGCCTGCTACTTTGATTGTGAGATTCAGGCTGGAGATATGAGAAAAACGATCCTCACTCTCACACTATCCCTCTTTAGTGATATTCTACAGTGATTCTACAGGGGATATTCTTGTATAAAGATGAGGACACTGAAGCCCACAATGATCGCATTCATTTATTTACTCATTCATTCATTCAAAGAGTAAAGCACAGTACCTTGCACACTGAATGAATGAATGAACAGCAGAAAATCATTGGGGAAAATCCTCTATGGGGGCCTACAAAACTCCGATTCCTTCACAAAAGATTGTTCCTCCCTGTGAGGAGCAAAAGGGACCAAGGGATCCTGACTATAGGTACTGCCAAGCCTCAGTCTGTGTAACCCAGCCAATATTTAATGAGACTTTTCCTGCACTGCCCTAGGACCTCAAGACAGATTGACTGAGAAGCCTCTGCAACAAAGAAATGAGCATACAGAGCCTGTACACCCCTGCTTAGAAAGAAAGGCTGCTTATGTTTATGTCCCTATATTTAAAAGAGAAATATATCCCTCTCAAATAAAATGGAAATTATGGATGTTACCAAGGGCTTACAATTTCTGCCCCAAAGAAAGTGATGACAGGGGGCAGATACCCACGTTCTCCTCCTCCAAGACACACTCCTCAAAAGTCTTCTACAGGCCTTGGCTCTAGGCTGAGAATAAGCCCCACCCCCACAATGTCCCTCAGTGACCAACCCAGCCCGCTCTGGAGGCCATGACTGTGTCCCAAGAGAGAACCCCACCTTTGGCCTGGAGGTGGGAGCAGGGTGGCTTACACATGGTGGCATTTGAGAAAGACACCGCAAAATCACTTAGTTTGTGTCTGAGTGCCCTGCAATTCCCATGTCTTCACAATCACCAGCATCTAAGTGGGTTCAGGGCCCAAGGAGGTAGTCTGTAGCTCTTAGCCCTGTTGGAAGTTGGGGAAGTATCTGAATGCATTTCAACACCTCTACCCCGACCCAATCTTACAAACATTATCACATTACTAAGGCATCAAAGAGGACTTGTGAATGCAAAGACAAGCGTGCTGCCTGGGGTACCTAGGTACTCAGAACGGTTCCATCTTCAACTTACCATTGTTGCAGTTTTGCCTGTCTACTGTAGAGAAGGGGCACAACACTTACCAAGTTTAAAGTCTACCTCAGGTAGACTTTAGACAGAAAAGTAACAAGACAGAAAAATCCATTTAAGGGCTGTTATACTATAGCTTTTTACATCCAATTAGCCCTTGAATACCCAAACCTTGGTCAGAAGCACACTGGAGGGGTGCATGTGAGGGAAGCATGGGGGAGAAAGAGGCACACAGGTAAATGAAGTCAGCTTCATTGTTCCAAGAGCTGTTCTACCATTCTTCCCAGAAAGGAAGGGACAGGTCAAGCTTTAAGGAAAGAACCACACCTTATCATTACTAAAATTTTCCTCAAAACATATTCAGACTTGGTAGGTTGGATGTTTCTAGGAATTTATCCATTTTTTCCAGGTTGTCTGATTTGTTAGTGTATAATTGTTTATAGCAGTGTCCTAAGATCCTTTATATTTCTGTGGTATTGGTTTTAACCTCTCCTCTTTTGTTTCTGACTTTGAGTCCTCTCTCTTCTTTTTCTTGGTGAGTCTAGCTAAAGATGTGTCAATTTTATTTATTTTTTTCAAAAAATCCGGCTGTTGGTTTCATCGATCTTTGCTATTGTCTCTTTAGTCTCTGTTTCATTTATTTCTGTTCTGATCTCTATTTTCTTCCTTCCACTACCTTTACACTATGTTTGTTCTTCTTTTCTAGTTTCTTCAGGGCATTGTGCTAAGTGAAATAAGTCACAGGAAGATGAACACTGTCTATGCTCACACATGTGGAATTAAAAAAAAAAAAACTAAACTCATTGAGTGAACAGACTGGTGGTTGCCAGAGGTGGAATAAAATGGATGAAGATGACCAAAAGGTACAAACTTCCAGTTATAAGATAAATAAATCCTGAAGATGTAATGAGCAGCATGGTGACAATAGTTAACAATACTGTATTGTATACTTGAAAGCTGCTAAGAGAGTAGATCTTAAAACTTCTCATCATAAAAAAAATTGTAACTAGGTGTGATGACAGATGTTAGCTAAACTCACTGTGGTAATCATTTTGCAATATATACATGTATGAAATCATTATGCTGTACACTTCAAATACAATATTATATGTCAATTATCTCAATAAAATTGATTCAGAAATAATTAAATGAGAATTGCAATAGTGGCCCTTTACCTTACCTGTGAGAAGGAAAAGAATTTTGAAAATTTAAAATACTAGAGAAGTCTTAAGGTAATCTTGCCTTTTCTAGAACTCATGCAAATGTGCTAAGACATAGTTTATCTTTGTAATAATCGCTGCAGAAAGA